AGCCTCCCAGTGTCACATATGCAGCAAATTTATCACCATGTGCCAACCTTTTGATGGGGTCAGAGGGAAGAGAAACAAGATAGTTTATGACATTACAATCTCATCATGGAAAAACAATACTAATAACTTGCTACCAGCCAACAAGTTCTTTTTCTATCACAAATAATTATTGCTTACCCCTTTTGTTAGAAAATGAGTAACCGATTAGTTTTGCATTATCCCCTCACCTCAGCAATCTTAATTAACATATGATAATTAACATATGATACCGCATTAAGTGCGTTACAGAAATCCCAGCATTAGCTTTACTGCATGTCTTTCATCTTTAAAAACAAAACCGCCCCAATAAACTACCATGATAAAATGCTGTTCAGTTCTTTGTTGAAGTCATGGAAGAAATGTGAAAATATACAACTTGAATATCATAGGAAAGATTAATAGTTTTTAATAAAGAAGTTGACAGCTGAGTGGGCTCCCTGAATTGGGACTCTAATCACTTAACAGCAAATTATCTCTTTTTCTTGCATCTCTTTTTTTTTTTCTCTTCTCTTTTGATACATTTCACAAACATTGACCAGACAAAATAACCATTTAGAAATTTCTTCGGGAATAATTCTCCAGGGCTAAGATTAATGATTGTAAGCACCAGTTATAATAGCAGGGGGAAAAGAAAACATGCACACAAAAAATCTTTCCAACACCTAATTTAAGAAGGCCTATTTTGAAATGTTACATTTGAACATACCAATTCAGTAGACATCAGTAAAGATTTTTGCCTCAAGTTCTTTTTGTTTCCCTTTTTAAGTAGTTAAATCAGCAAGGATAAATGTCTACAGACAAAATTATCTTACATCAAACAAATATTGACATGACTTTTAAGGTCAGTTGCTGCAAGGCCAGGATTTAAAAACAAATTAAATTTGATGTATGCTGTTTCAAAGGTCAGTTAGAAAGGTATATGCTGCACCCACTTTACAATGCAACCCACAGGGAGGCAAACATATTGAATGCTGCAAGGAGACATTGCAATAATGAAGATAATTATGGTAATAGGTAGGTAGGTAATAGGGGCTTAATTAGATCAGAACAAGCATGTTATTTAGAGAAAAAGAAATTGCAGTGTATTAAATTAAAAGTAAATTACAACAACTCGGGTCAGTATTTATTTCAGTTTGATAGTTAACACACTTTATTGTATCTTTAAAGAGACTGAGATGCTCCAGCAAAAGGCAGCAAAAATGTTTCATTGTCATCCAGCACAGTCCAGTGTCACTGTGTATGAAGGTCCTATCTGTCCCAGAATATTGCCATTCTGACAGAGGCTGTGCACACACTTAATTTCCTGGTTTTCCTTTCTGATCTCAGTAATTTTCAATAGTAAAAGTGAGATGGCAGGAATCCTTTGTTATTACTTGAGTAGCTTAAGGAATAAATAAGTGTCCATCCATGAAACGTGTCCTCACTGGAAAGGAAGAATTTCCGTGAGATGAGCAGATGAAGAAGTGAGCAGGGCAATTCTGAAGATGGTTAGTGTCCACATGAGCTGGTACTCTGCTGCAGTGGTACTACTCAGCTTTGTCACTGCAAAAAGCAACCCCGACCTTCCCTCAGACAACTGTTCCCAACACTTCTTTTCGCTGGATTATTCCCACTTAAAATGTTTGTGAATTTACTGCCATAAAAATGTGTATCTGACCAGCAGCCAGTATATAATCCACAGTGCTACTGCTCTGCCCTGCCACATGACTCCAAAACGTGAACAAAAAAGGCACTGAGGTGGAAATAGAGTGCCCAAAATGTTCTTGCTCTGTACCCTGGACAGTAATTTATTTTGGAGGGATTCTGATTTATTAGCATCCTGTGGCCCTTTGCATAGGTGAAACTAACTTTATGAGATGCATGGCAGTGTAGCAGAGTAAAACAGGAGTGAAAAACAATGTATGCTGCAGGGCATGCCTTTAATGTGTAAATACCAACCAAGACGGCTATGCTGTCACTGCATCATTTAGTTTACAAAAGTGACTTTCACTGCCAGTTCTCTCTTGTGTACAGCTTTTACTCAGCAGGTAGCACAGCTTAGGGTTAAGACAGTCACCAATATTTGTGCTGTCATGCAAACTCTTGACTAGACAAATAACTCTGTCAAGCAATGTAGGGAGACCCTCACAGAGTCTTGTCCTGTTTTCTCAGCTAGACAGACAGTGGCCATTAAGCAAAAACATGACAGTTCCGATTCTCTGTAAAGTAATATGGAATGATGATAGTTCAGAGACACACACGCACACACTGTCCTTCCATGGCTTCTCTTTCAAAGGTTACTGAAAACGCCTTTAACAATAAGGGTGACTCTCACTACTTTCGGCATGTATCTTCGAAACAACAATAGTCTGCAATAGTTCCCCAGAGAGTAGTCCAGTATTGCTAATGGAAATTCTGCAAGCTCTAAATTGGCTATTCTTATCTAATTTTTTTTTTTAATTCACTTGTATTACAGCCCTAGGCCACTTTACGGGTTCTGAAAAGAAGGTATTTTACTGTTCATGAGTGACGTGACTAACTCCTGCCATCTAGAGGTGGTTTCTGGAACATAATCGAGGCAGATAGAGTTTCACAGGATAAAATAAAATAACTGCTTAAAAACCATTTAAGTGAGACTAAGATAAAAATCTTAGTGTCTGCCTGTCTCCTTGGGACTTTTCTAGATTTTTCCCTCTTTTTCACTCATGTGTTTGTTCATGTAAAAATGCACATTCAAATGAGAGGATAAGCGTCACATCTGTGGATGTATGAGAGTTCTTTCTTCAACGGCTCCATTCATTCATTAAAGTAAATTAGCCGACTAGGATAATTATTCTAAAATAGATTAAAACTTTCTGTTAGTATTTTTTTCCCAATGTTGTATCATTTATTCTCATTGTGTTCTTGCGTTCATGGCTGCCTAAACCAGACTAGAATGGTCACAACCAGAATAAAAGAATATTACTGATTAATGGCATTCATTAAGAAAAGTGAGAATGACACAAAAAAGCTCTAAGGTCTCACAAAAGATTATATTTTCTACGTAGGTTGTTGGTTAAATAGCATGTAGCCATGGCTACTGACAACAGTTTAAAATGACTTTTCTACACGCTTTTTTACAAAGGAGAAATGTCCAGTTAAGTGATCGTCATGAATTTTTGTCTTAAACAATAATGCTGTTTTCTGTGCATCCCACTAACTGGGTGTGAAGATTTCATCTTGAAGAAAAAGCATGACAAGCAAACAGTTCATTGTGGGAGACAGAACCCTGGCCTCACAAAAGTTAGAAAGAGTCTTCCTGGAAAGGCAATGGTGGCCAGCAAATACCTGCCTCTCTCATTAAGCCAAAATCACATTCCATAACTAGCAGCCAGCTTTCAGTAAGAAGTGCATTACCAAGTACAACGTGAAGCAACACAACTGCCCCACCTGACTGACTGGATGATCAAAGCACACAAGAAATAAAACAGTGCCCTAGGACTTATTTATATGAAATATGTATCAAACCCTTCCTAGGCAAAAGACTATGAAATACACTGGAATGTAACTGCTCCACGATCCTTGCACTCATGTTCATTTAAACATCCATATGATACATCATCTAATGAATTTTCACAAAGGGTTTTCTAGGCAATATGCACAGAGCAATAAATATACCTGTAGGAAGAACTTTTGATGTTAAAATAAATCAAAGACATCCTTACATTTCTACTTGTGTTATATGCCATTTATGAGGAGTTAAGCAAGGGCTCATTGTACATACAAAGAAGAGGGAGAAGCAAGTCCATACAGCCGTCTTCACTGCATACTTCGTACCCCTTCACACCTCATGTAGTATCTTTCATGCATGCCAAAACCAAACTCCAGAGCTCACAGCTCTTGCAGAACTCAAGCAAGCACCACTAGATTACAGACTTCTAGGTGGCTGAGTTGGGAAATGAGCAGAAATTGCTGAGAAACAGACGGAGCCCTCCTTCCGAAAGGCAAATTAATCTGTGACAAAGCATGACTTGCATAACCTTGGGAGCCAGAGCCGTGTACAGGTTCTTTTTATGGTACAGGTATTATTTCCCTTTTTAAACTACGTTGTATTCCTACCATTAAGATTAAACAATACTTTATTCTGAAAGCAGATGGAGCCACTGATGAAAGATTTCAGAGATAACTTTTCAGGTGCCAACCCTAATCAATTACAGTCACAACTAATTGTTACTATGCCCTAGCGCTCTGTCAAGTGAAAGTTGTGGGGCAATCGCCAGGAAAGCAAACAAAATTTGAGGATGGAACACCCACTAAACAGTCACATTCATGCAAACGGTTTACAAACCCTTTTTCAACGATTTCCCAACCACAGTGAAACTGACAGCGTATCTTAAGTGAGGAGAAAGATTATGTTAATTAGGACCCCCAAAATAACACCAAAAGAGGTTTTTTTTATTATTATTTTTCTTCAGGACACAGATATTCCTGTGGAGATAACAGTTTTAGCGTTTTTCTTTTTTTTTTTTAACCCAAGAAGATGCAATTGCACACAAACGCAGTTTGCATTGTAACACCGAGTGCTTAGTAGTACACAAGATGCAGGCGCTAACTGCTCCCGCCTAAGAGTGATGTCTTTGGTATCCGTGCATTTACCATTTTTTTATGAGGTCTCCTTCCAAAACTCTGGCAACACCTTCCCCTGTGGTGTGGAAATCCCGCCCTTCCTTGGTTCCCAACCATCCGAGGTCCAACGCGCGGACACAGCGATTCCGTGAGGAGAAAGGGCGGACTCGCCATCCTGACACTTGTTTCTCCCCCCAACTCCAGTCAGACAGAACCCCGGGCCTTCCCGGCTCCCTGAGCCCCCAGCTCTGCTTACTTCCAGCTTGTGCCCCTTCGGCCTCACCTGCCCAGCACTGCACCGTGACGGGAAGGACGGGAGAGGGCGGGCGGCTGCCCGCCGGGTACCGGGGGGCCTGAGGGG